CCACTCCAAAACTACCGAATCCTTGAAATCCACCCGACATTCGAAACCTTAAATCAAGAAAATCAATTACCCAAGCTCCACCCCGTTGTTGGCAACCACTAGAAGAGGCCAACCCAAGCGTCAGGAAGCAGCACCCATTTCATTTCTGTACTTCGAGCAAAGACTCATTGGCGTGCGACCGGTTGAAGGTGAATTCGAAAAGCCTTTTTTTTGTTCGTGTAATTTGGAACTTCAATTGGATTTGTGATTTAGCCCGTACGAAATGCAATTTTTGATCCGTTTGGGTGTAGACTGGGGAACTTTCTGCTGATATTATTGTGCATTGCGATTGTACAGTTACTTTTTTTGAGTGGAATTTTTATGGATTTGGAAAACGTGCGCATTTTAGAGATTTCTGTCTATGTTTTATGTTGTCTTATATAGAGAGTACAAGCATAATATTGTTGGTTTACATTTTAAGATTCTACAATGGATACTAATGTCAGAAAACTGTCTTAAATGGGTGGAATTATTGTTTGCTGAATATCTGTTCTCATGGTGCTAAGTCACGAAATTGTTAGTTCAATTGACAGCAAGTAAAAGCAATTTTTGATGCAATCTCCTGTCTATTCTAAGTTAGATTGTAATGTACTAGACATCAAAACTGATCCTGTTACTATTTTGTGATTTGGTTGTCTTATAGGAAAGATAAGTACAACTTGCATTTGGCACTAAGTTTGTTTTGTGAGCTAATTTTACATTTTTTCTTCAAGAACTCAAAACGAGTGGGATTCGAATTTTACCGTCATATATATTCATATTACTATATAAGCATTTAGAAGTCCTCAAGTAGTTAATCATTTTCGAAGTTGGAAGAGGAAGAAGCAAACTAATTACTCATGAAATTCTCTGAGTTATGACTACTTGGGAATCCTCATTTCACAATTTGTTGAAATTTATTTTTCACAGGGTTAGAATATCTTCACATGGAGACAAAGAGGAATTCTTCGAATTAGTCACCTTGTTCTCTTTTTCAGTATCCCTTTATATTTTGTTGTTTTCATACGTGGACTGCTCAGGTATAATGGGAGATAGAATATACTGAATCTGCACATTAGAAGCATTATAGATCTCAAGTAATTACAACATATTTATTCATATGCATTCCATTTGATAAGTCACATACTATGTCCTGTTCCAAACTATGTCCATTAATAGCCTCAGTGATGTTATATACAAACCGGTAACACGATAATATGTCGAGGGAGAAATTGGTACAGAGATTAGAAATAAGGTGGACATGTGTACCCATCCCGGTGGAGTGGCAGCGTCAATGACTGCCATCAACAAAAATGAAGCTCTCTGTCTCTCTCTCTCAATGTGTGCTAATGAGTGTTACGACTAACATTTTGAAATAAATACTTCAATTGATATTCAAAAGATAATTGTATGCCAAAATTCAATAAAATGAATATACGCCAAACATAATTTAAACCGAATTTATTGCCGATTACATAAATATAAAAAATACAACATCATTCATAGGTCTTTTCTCCGATTATAAAGTTGCTCGACATATTCAATGAGATTGAAGGAAATAAGAAATGAAAGAAAAGAAATGCCATCATTCAAATCTTGAGAATAAATTGAATAATCTACGACATATGGAGCATGCCTGTATAAGCTCGTAAGGTGATATAGACAACTACATATTTCAGTACTATGTATCGAACGGCCACATTGCAGTTCATGGAGGTAAAGATGAATCATATATACCCAAGAAAAATACTGTGAAGGCTGTACACAGAGATGCACTACTGAATTAGTGGCAAAATGTTCACTTATACATGTGCATGCAAACAAATACCCATATGCATATACATGAGCAGAAGCTATATTATTTGTTCCATACTACTACTACTGATTGCTAGTGACCCAAGACAAAAACCCAGAGACACCACTAAAATTAACTGCAGTAGACCAGACAGAGACTCAAGTAGACTTCCCTTGTAGCAGTCCGCTCCCCTCAGCACTGTTTACAGCCCAATGAAACAATTTATAATGGCACCCTGTACACACCAATCAAGGATTTTATTGAAGTGGAAGAAGAAGCCCGATTGTGATCAAAACTTTCCAAAAACAAGAACAATTACAGTCAACATTGTTTTAAGCAATACGATATTGCTGCCGGAATACTCATTGGTTAGGCTGTGAAAAAAAAAAGTTGCTAACAGAACACACAAATCTGCAAACAATATGATATACCGAATTCCATACAATGCACAACTCATGGAATCCGGTGATTTTTTAACACGCGAACAGCTCATGAGCTCAAACAAATACAGTTGACAAATTCATAAATTTTGTTAAGACAAAAACAATTATTTAATACCAGAAATCAAACTCAACATGTTCAACAGTTGATATGCACTTACCAAAACAGCAATAATATTCCTTCTTCTTCCTTGGGATCTGGTACAAACTCTTCCTAGGATTCTAGCACAATTCTAAAATTGCCCCGACGTTGTTGAGATTTTCAAAGGGTTATAATGAATCATGGCCGGAGAAGATGATGGTTGAAATTTTAGGGTGACATCAATTGATTTGCCTATGGGTTTGGGGATCGATTCTAAGGGAATCTGATTTCTGTGCAAAGAGACGAATTTGATTTCAATTGAAGTTTGTGAGTAAGAGGCGTGTTTCAATTCACGGTTCTGAATGTGTGTTTTGTAACTTTGTTAGGCTGACTTGGAAATTAACTTCACATTTGGAGACAATTAATTGACCACATCGTTTTTTCGTCCACCACATCTAATAGCAGATTCCATCAGGTGAGGAATGGACATTAACAGAGTAAAGTTCAATGGCTAATGGGACAATTTTGGAAGTTCGATGAGTAAGCCGTGACATGGTACAAAGTTCGGTGGCAATGAAACATTTAACTCAGATATGATTGCTAGATTCAGATAGAGTTATGAGGGGAAAACCCCCCTTTTAACTATTTTTTTGGGTTTCTTGTAACATTCCCACAAATTTACTGGTTTTGACCAAAAATAGAGGTCTTCAATTTTGTATTTTTTTTTGGGGGGCTTTATTGGTTTTCTATTTTAATTGCTTTTTGAGAGTTTAGGTGGGAACTTGTTCTTCTGTGCTGAGTGGAATAATATAATTGACATTTGGATTGCCACCAGGTGAAGGAAGCTATTTGCCACAAATAATGCTCATTGTGACAACTTGCCGAGTCCACATGGGACTTTTAATTGGCTATGCAAGCTCATCATTGCTATATCATCCGGTTTCATGTGCATTCGGTCCAGCTGCATAGAATCAAGAGGTGGGAAGAACTGCAATATTGAAATTCGATGTCTTCTAACTACACAAATGTGGGATTGCTGTACACGTGGTTATTCTCAATGTTAAAGATGAGTTGGTTATAATTTCCTGTCCTATCAAAACTTTTGAACTTACCATATTGCATGGAATTTAAGCTTGATTTCTGAGTTTGCATTCTCGTTGTTCGTTAAAAGTTTATATGTTTATTTATTTTATTTACATAATTTTGGGTTAGTTAGAAGTTGTTGATCAAGAACTATGAGATAGTGTAAAAATTCTGACACCAGGTTCTCGTGCTTGGCAGGTTTGTGGGTCTGGTTTTGGAGTAGGTGTGAAGAATGTTATACAGATTATCAACTAAATTGTTGAATATATCTATAGCTTCCCTTTGCAGAACTAAGCAGTTGGAGAAAGCAGAAGCTGCTATAGTTGATGGTATTAGATTAGGTGTCCTACCGGATGTGGTGACTTACAATACTCTGATTACTGGGTATTGTCGAATAGTTGGGTTTGATGCAGGTTACTCAATTCTTCACAGAATGAAAGAAGCTGGGATAAACCCAGATGTTATTACATATAATTCTTTGATGGCTGGTGCCAACAGGCAATGCTCATTATCTCGATGTTTTGATCTGCTTGAAGAGATGCTCAATATGGAAATTGATCCTGATTTGTGGAGTTATAATACATTGATGCAGTGCTTTTTCAAATCAGAAAAACCAGATGAGGCTTACAGAGTTTTCCACAATATTATTCTTCAGAATATCGCTCCAAGTGAAACCACGTTTAACACTTTGATAAATGGACTTTGCAAGAACGGATACATAAGTAATGCCCTTACCTTATTTAGGAATTTGCAGCGTTATGGATATATTCCTGAGATAGTGATATACAACATTCTGATCAATAGACTATTTAAGTCTGGAGAGTTCAGGGCGGCAATGAAGCTTTTTGATGAGCTTAGAGACTCAAGTTATGTCCCTAATGCAATTACTTATACTACAGTGATGAAATACTGCTTCAGACGTAATTACTTCAATAAAGGATTGGAATTTTTCTCCGAGATGAAGGATAGAGGATATACATATGATTCATTTGCATATTGCACAGTTGTTGGGGCTTTACTTAAGAAGGGTAGGATACAAGATGCTAATAAACTCGTGACAGACATGATTAAGAATGGGTATGAGCTTGATATAGTGGCTTATAATACTTTTATCAATTTGTATTGTAAGGAAGGTAGACTAGAAGATCCCTACCAGTTGCTGGATACGGCAGAAGAGGGAGGATTGAAATACGATAAGTATACTCATACTATCTTGATTGATGGTCTGTGCAAAGCAGGCAATATTGATGGTGCCGAAAGGCACCTAAACTATATGAAAATGATGGGATTTGATTGCTTAGTTGCTATGAATTGCTTTATTAACGGGCTGTGTGAAGTTGGTCAAATTGATTATGCATTGAAAATCTTTCAGTCTATGGATGTAAAGGATTCTTTTACCTATTCTTCCTTAATCCACAATCTCCGCATGGCAAGGAGGTTCCATCAAGCATCTAAACTTCTGCTATCTTGTATTAGATCTGGGATGAGAATTCTTAGATCAGACCAAAGGGCGGTTGTTAATGGTCTTAATCTTTCAGGCCTCAGGAATGATGCTGCGAAACTTGCACAGGAAATTCAAATGGCCAAGTTATTGCACTATTGATTTGCTATTGCCAACTAAATATGCATTAACAGTTGGATGTTCTTTGTCAAAAAATGATCCATCTTGATACACATTTCTAGTTGATTTGATTAACAGTCCTCTTATGCAAAGTACAGATTCAAACTCTGGAAGCACTTCTCATTATCATTGACGTCATTTTACAACATTCTCCTGTAATTTTTGGTGCCTGCTAAGGGTTATTATGTGGAACATCCTCCAAATTCTGGAAAAAATGTTATGCCATATTTCTCAGTTAAGACTCGGAGTTTGTTTAATATCTCTTAGGAAGACATATCTTTTTGGGTTTGTTTATATCTCTGAGGAAGACATCATTTTGCTATTGTTTAGGACAGAAATGAACATTCTCGTGGCCCCTCCTTTCATTTGTCTACGAAGTGCTGTGATTAGGAGCGTATCAACTTTTGAGAGCAGTCACTGGTAAAGAAATAACTAATGGTAAGATCCCTTTCTTAACAGGAATGATTAACGCCAAAATAATTAGAGCTTGTTTGGTAGAGATTAAAATCGGATTAAAATTGAAAAACTAGCCGTTATTGATGACTTTTATTAGACGAGTGTGACCTAATAACGGCTATATTTTCAATTTTAATTGGATTAAAATCCCTCCCAAACAAGCTCTTATAGTAATGGCAACTAAAGTGGGTTCTAAACATGTTTATCCTGGTGATTTTTGCTTGTTGCTCTCTGAATTTTTTTTATATTCTGTAGAAAAGCAGGAATAGTGCTTCCTTATGATTGATACCATATATGTACCCTTCATCTAGCTAGATGCTATGATCACTTGAGGTCGGAAGGATTTTTATCTAGTTATCTGACAGGATATATACTGATATTCCACCAATGCCCTTCCTGTCATTGAGGATTCTTTGAACTTTGGCAAAGATGATGTGTAAATCTGATTGTATTTTCACCTGTGGCAGTCCCCAAGCTCTCCTAGCAAGTCCCACCGTATTTCTAGAGAAGTCTGTTCTATTTTAGTAGTTGATTGATATTTGTAATCTTCTTACATTTAATTGAATGTTTGCTGACCAAATAAGTGTGAGTCCTTTACAAGACATTTCATAAATAAAACAGAAATTGGAGTTATGTCACCACATTTGTTTTAAAATTTTTGAAGTTGCTTCTAAAATCTGTTCATGTGGGTGGAAGGTATTTGTGTATCGACCCGGGTCTCTATACCAAAACCGTTAACTTAGGTACTGTCCACTTTGGGTGGGCCTATGCCCACCTACTCCCTCACGGCTTTTCATTGCGTCCTCCAGTATTCGAACTCAAGACCTTTGTCCAATTGGTACCAAGATTCAACTAAGTCTCTCATTAGGCAGAGATCTTAAGTTCGAATCTTCTTTTTTTTGTAACTTCTTCGATCTCTATATTCAAGCCGTTAGCTTACGTATTACTCGTTTTGGGTGGACCTATGCCCACTTATCCCCCTTACGGTTTTCTATTGCATCCCTCAAGATTCGAACTCAAAATCTCTGCCTAATGAGAGATTTAAGTTGAATCATGGTACCAATTGGAGAGGTCTTGAGTTCAAATCCTGATGGACGCGATAAAAAGCCGTGAGGGGTTAAGTGGGTATACCTTCCCAAAGCGAACAGTACGTAAGCTAACGGTTTGGGTATAGAGACTCGGATCGTTACAATTTATACTTGGGTTTTTCTTTAAGGATAATTTGCTTGTAGGTCACTATATGAGTGTAGAACAGCCTGCATCTTTGTTAGCTATAATTGGTCGTAAGCAATGATTTCTATAGTTTTATTCTTGGTTCAATAATTTTTCAATTATATGCGGCTATCATTGTAGCTGATTGTAAAATTTTGAAACTTTCATGTAAATGTAGACTGAAGTTTATTGGGAATAATGCATAGTTTATTGTTGTTATAAATACATGAAGCCTTAGGCCCTTTGAGTTTTAATTATCATTGTGATTAATTTGCAGAATTTCCAAAGCAGAGATGTCGGATGGCTCAAGTTGATGGAGGTTGTGGAACTGACCTGCTTCAGGTTTGATTCTATGCAATAGATTCTTGTGGCATGTAGCCTGAAACTTGTTGGCTTGTTTAAGTGTGGGAGGAACAGCAGATAGTTAAAAGTTTCGACCTCGATAGCCTAGAGTCAATGATCATCTCCAATAAGTAGCATGATCGCGTTATCTAGACATCAAAGGTTCAGAAATGGCTGGGTCGAATTTCCTTTTCAGGGGGGAAATTTCGACTTGCTTTTGCCAACTTTTGGAGAAGGCATCAAGGGTCTGCTGTTTTGCTTTCTAATATTACAATCACTGTAGAGGTTATTAACATGTTACTGGACAGCTCAGGGTGATACTAAAGAAGAAAAGATGGCACGTCTCCATATTGGCATAAGTTGGTGGTTCTGTCCTGCTTCAGGTACTATTTTATCAAAAGTTTAGGCCTCGATAGCATAGAGTTAATGACCATCTCCCTAAGTAGCACAATTGCCATGTCTAGACATCAAAGGTTCGGAAATGGCTAGGTTGAATTTCCTTTTCAGGGGGGGATTTCAACACTTATGCCAACTTCTGGAAACAGGCATCAAGGGGCTCTTTTTATACTCTCAAATATTACAATCACAATAGACGTTATTGACATGTTACTGGATGTATTTGACAATACTAAAGAAGAGAAAGATGCTAAAATCTTTGATGACACATTGTTGGCACATCTTGAACTTGGCATATTTGTTTGCTCATCTAATGTCGCCACTGGCACGATAAAGTGGAATGGACATTACAAAGCTAAAATTTTGGACAAAATATTATTGTTATATATTTCAATCTATGCTGTTTGTATACTATCCTATATATGATACAATCACAGCATATGTTATTGGCATATTTTGTAAGGTAGAATAGACATTCAGTGACAATAATAAAAGATAAAAAGAAGTAAAAATCTTGGACAGAGATAATTGGCGTATAGAAATTTTCTTTATAGCTTTGCTTGATGGACATTGGACTGTGATATGACTTTTATTAGATATGAAAGTGAGCTTAATGAAGTTAATGGATATGAAAGTGGAACTATGAATGTTATTACAGTATCTACTAATTGAGTTATTGACTAAAATGTATTTCATAAAGTTTTTTCTAATATTGTAGCCTTTTTAGAGCATCTCCAACAAATTCTTTAAAT